TAGAGTAGAGTAGAGTAGAGTAGAGTAGAGTAGAGTAGAGTAGAGTAAATGGAAGGGACTTTGTAGCTCATCTCGTCCAACCTCCTGCCCAAGAAGGAGATCCTACACCATTTCTGACAGATGGCAGTCCAGTCTCTCCTTGAAAGGCTCCAGGGATGGAGCTCCCACAACTTCTGAAGGCAACTTCTGTTACATGGGTTGATTGTTCTCACTTTCAGAAAATTCCTCCTTATTTCTAGGTTGAATCTCTCCTTGATCAGCTTCCATCCATTATTCCTTGCCTGGCCTCCGGGTCCTTTGGAAAAACATTTGAGAACAGTTGTGTTTGTTGACTAGGTTTGCTGAAGTTTGCTGATGACCTTGGAATGGAGAGCATCCAGACCATTTCTTTGGGACAAGGACAAGGCCCCATCGCAGCCAAGATGATCAACCAGGCGATCAACGATGGAACCTGGGTTGTGTTGCAGAACTGCCACCTGGCCACCAGCTGGATGCCCGCTTTGGAGAAAATCTGCGAGGAAGTCATCGTGCCTGAGAATACCCATGTCAAATTCAGGCAAGGATTTAATTTTGTCTCTTTTCCACGGGATACGGCTGGATTGAGATCTTTCCACAAGCTCATTCATTTCGCAACGGACCTTCTGGTTAGCCTATCCATTTCCGCACAGTCTAATATTTTTCTAACTATATTTTCCTCTGCAGGGCTTTCCTCATTTGTCCACTGTTGTGCATTGTTGTGCAAATACAATTCTGGCACCCATCTTTTCTCTTCTGGCTTCTCAGGTTGTGGCTGACCAGTTACCCGTCGGAAAAGTTCCCCGTCAGCATCCTCCAAAACGGGATCAAAATGACCAATGAGCCGCCCAAAGGCGTCCGCGCAAACCTCCTCCGCTCCTACCTCAATGACCCGATTTCCGATCCCGTCTTCTTTAACAGCTGTGAAAAACAGGAAATTTGGCACAAGTTGCTGTTTGGGCTCTGCTTCTTCCACGCCCTGGTGCAAGAACGGAGAAACTTTGGCCCTCTGGGTGAGACGGGGCGCCCAGTTTGCTTTTCCCAGTTGCATTGTGGTTGTCCTGCTTGAATGGCCTGAGGGTTCTTCAGGTTTCTATTGAGGCTGTTCTTTGTAGACTTGTAGTCCTCAACTTACAACTGGTAACTTAGTGACAGTTCAGAGTTACTGTGGACCTACTTGATTTTAGTTGAGGTCAAACAGTTACTAAAGCCATGGAGGTGCAGTGGTTAGAAGGCAGTACAGCAGGCTAACTCTGCCGACTGCCAGCAGTTCGATCCTGACTGGCTCAAGGTTGACTCAGCCTTCCATCCTGGATAAAATGAGGACTCAGATAGTTGGGAGTAACTTGCTGACTCTGTAAACTGCTTAAAGAGGACATTCAAGCACTGTGAAGTGGCCTATTACCAGCTGTGAAAAAAAAAAGGAAATTTGGCACAAAATTTGGAAGTTTTGCTAATTGCTACTTCCTTTTTGACAGGAGCTTTCCTGCCCTTTTGCCTAGTGAGAGTTTCTCCCAAGAAAGAACCATGTCGTACAAGTACATCCCTTTTCCTTAGCAATGAAGGCTATTGTGGTAACTTAAGGACCGACTCATTTTATTACAGCATAATTTCAGGATTGCATTTCATCAGACGGGTCAGAATAAAAATCTTCCTGTGTTTTTCTCCCCCTGAATTGGACAGGTTGGAATATTCCCTATGAATTCAACGAATCTGATCTTAGAATCAGCTTGAGGCAGATTCAGATGTTTCTGAACGAATACGAAGAAACCCCATTCGAAGCTCTAACTTACCTTACAGGTACAGGGCACCCTATGGCTTGGTTTGCATATAACAGTGAACTGTTATAAAGATCTGATCTGTTGTACCCATGGTTTATTGAACAAGTGGCTGCATTCACACTAATGTTAAGCTGTGGGCAAGGGTTGATTGAAAAAACCAGGGCAGATACTTGCTACCATGCCAAATCAAAATCAAATTACTTCATGTTAAGTTAAGCACAGTGTGTGAACCCTGCTCAAACCAGCAAGACATTTACATAATACAAAACCGTGGTTTAATATTACAGGAATTAGTATAGGGTTTTCTCTTCTTCATTCAGCAATGAAAATAGGTACCCCCTGTCATTTTAAATGGTTTGGAGCTTAGTGTCTTGTCCAGATCTGCTGTGGTAGATTTTTATCCAAGTTAGTAAGAAGGGTGTGCATAGTTTAGCATGATTAAATACCAGGCCACTAAACTTTGTTTAACTTATGATGACTAAAAAAACAAGTTGTGGTTTACGATGCATAGGCAGTTCTTGACTTACAATCATACGTTTAGTGATGGTTCGAACTTGCAATGACACTAAAAAAAGTGACCTATGCCTGGTCTACGCTCATACAACTGTTGCAACATCCCCACAATCAAAATTCAGGTTGCTTGGCAACTGGCTGTCATGAGACAGCTGCACAGAATCACGTGGTCACCATTTGCGACTTCCCCAGCTGGTTTCTGACAAGCCAAGCCAATGGGGGAAGCTGATTTCACTTAAGGACCACATGATTCACTTAACAACTACTTTGCTTACCAATGGCAATTCTGGCCCCAATTATGTTGAGGACTATCACCAGCTGTAGAAATGCATCTCCACAAAGAGAGAGTGGCCCTCTATTTTGTATTCTTCCTCAACCTGGTGTCTTCCAGGTGACAACCTGTGTGTCTCCCTTGGGTATAAATCTTCTTACCTCCCTGGTGTAACTTTTGTGTTTCCAGGGGAATGTAATTATGGCGGAAGAGTGACAGATGACAAGGACAGGCGCCTCCTCCTTTCACTTCTCTCCCTGGTCTACTGCAAAGAGATTGAAACTCAGGAATGCTATCCACTTTCTCCAGGGGGTGAATATTATATACCCCCCTTTGGGACGTACCAGGTGAGCAAACGTAACGGAGTGAGCTCCCGCTACTTGACCCAGCTTCTGCCAACCTAGCAGTTCGAAAGCATGTGAAAATGCAAGTAGAAAAATAGGGACCCCTTTGGTGGGAAGGGAACAGGGTTCCTCCGTGCGCCTTCGGTGTTTAATCATGCCGGCCGCATGACCGCGGAGACGTCTTCGGACAGCGCTGGCTCTTCTTCGGCTTTGTAACAAAAAAGAGCCCTGTCCCCTTGAGCCGGAAACGACTAGCATGTATGTGTGAGAGGAACCTTTTACCTTTAGGTGAGAAAAGATGAGGTTGAATGATACTAGGATCATAACCTACATCAATTAGGGACTACGATTTTTAAAAAGTACTGCAGGTTCCCGTCTGAGTAGGTTAGTGGGACGAAAGTTTTATTCTTCCAAGCTTTTGAGCTTGTGTTGGAACTCAACATTTTTTCTCTCTCCAGAATATTAGCACTCGGCTGCTCCACGTGGTGTAGTTCTATAGTTCCTGGTTGTGTGTTAATTAGGGTGTTGATCGCTAGCTATTCAGTCATCGATTGTTGATTCCTTATGCTACCACGACCTCAGCTCCTAAATACCTGATAGGCGGATGGTAAATCAGCATGCTTAATGTCTGACAAGAGCCTGTAACTCAGGCTTCGTTTTTTCCTCTGGCTATTTTTGTCCCTGCTCGGCCCTGCTCTTAGTAGCTGTAAAACTGAATGCATTTCCTTATTCTTTACAATGTGAGACTACCAATGGGTCTCCTCATCTAATCATTCATTCGTGTTCTCATAATCAAACAATCTTTCGAGCGCATGATTTGTCCTCGTATGGTGGGCGATGCCCACTTACAATTTCAGAAGTTGTCTTTTACTGCTTCTGAAATGTTTTTAATGTATGGGGTATATATATCATATATTCTAAAAGTACCTTCTGACAATCTACCAAGCCTGTTTTTCATGTCCTTGATTAATATACAGATGCCTGAATTCTTAGCTTTGGATCTGCCTTGTTTTGTCACAGTCTTACATAGATTATTTAAGAACGCTGCCAATTTCAACCCATCCTGAAATATTTGGCCTTCACGAGAACGCCGATATTACGAAGGATAACCAAGAGACCAACCTGCTTTTTGATGGGGTCTTGTTGACTCTGCCTCGAGAGGCTGGAGGAGGAGGGAAATCTCCACAGGTACAAATATTGTAAAACAGAGGCATAGATAAATTATCCCTGGCCTTATCTTTTGAAGATAGTCAGTCCTCGACTTCTTACAACCATCATTTTTTAGTGACTGTTCTAAGTTACAGCAGCAATAAACAAAGTGATTTAGGACCAGTGTTTACCCTTACGACTGTTGCAGCATCTGCATGGTCATGTGATCAAAAGTAGGGTGTTTGGCAATTGGCATGTATTTATGGCAATTGCACTGTCCTGGGGTCATGTGATCACCATTTGTGACCTTCCAAGTTGGTTTCCAACAAGCGAAGTCAGTGAGGAAGCCGTATTCACTTAACAACCTCATGAGGCACATAACAACTGTGGCAAAAAGATCATAAAATCAGGCAAAACTCACTTAGCAACTATCTTGCTTAGCAACAGAAATTTTGAGGGGTAAGTAAAGTGGTTGCATCAAATGTTGGGGGTTTTGGCTACTCTGCTCCCCAAAACCTCTATATTTCAAGCACAAGTCTGCATGTAGAACGAACAATTCATTACTCTTCTGTAGACCAAAGTATTTTGTGCTTTGATTGTGATGGAGTAGAAATGGAATGGATGAATGGATGAATAAATATGCTGTTGTAGAGAAAAATAGGTTCTCATCCAGATGTCTCCAAAGTAAAGCAATCTAGCCAATCCTGGTCCATCGACCGGCACTGGGCCGTGGCATGCCAGAAACATGCACGCAAAACAATGCCCCCTCCAGTCCATGGGAAAACATCTTTCCACAGAACCAGTCCCAGGTGCCCAGAAGGTTGGGGGCCACTGATCTAGATGGTTAATTAAAACTCCGAAAATTGACAGAATCTTTTGCCACAAAACCCTGAAAAACAATGTATGCAAAAACATGTAAAAATTAAATAAAAACTAACAGAGCGTTGACCGTTTCCCTGCGATTTCACTTCTCGATGATTCCGTTCCCTAATTTCAGGAGACGGTTGAAGAATTGGCTCAGGATGTCCTTTCCAAGCTACCCGATGATTTTGACCTCGAACATGTGATGAAATTGTACCCAGTGCTGTATGAAGAATCCATGAACACGGTTCTCAGGCAGGAGCTGATCAGGTTTAACAGGTAAAATTATGGATTAGATAAACGGGAGGGCTTCAACTTTCAAGACATAGTCTTAAGACATTTCAGACAATCAGCACAGGTGTGTGCAATTGTGGTCATGCGTCTGGTGGCATTTGGGTACCTAAAATGGTACTTCCCCATCCACAGATAAGATGCTAAGTGGTACAGAGTTATCTCAAAGCTGCTTGTGATGTGCCAGCTGCTAATCAACCGTATCACGAGATCAACAAAGATGCTCATGTCACTCCAATACTTGGGCCGTGCCTTTACCCGGAAGACTTCCGAGGTTTATATTATTAGCAGAATGCAATTATTTCTTAAATGGACTCCAGGGGATGGCAGAGGACAGGAAACCCTGGAGGAACGTTGTCCATGGGATCACGATGAGCTGGACACGACTTCGCAACTAACAACAACCAATTATTTCTCAGCTTGCTTTCCTTTAGAAATGATGGATTAGTGCCGTGGTTCTCAATTTTGCAAACCTGAAGGTGTGTGGACTTCAAATGCTGGCTGGGGAATTCTGGGAATAGAAGTCCGCACATCTTCAAGCTGGCTGCGGAATTCTGGGAATTGAAGTCCGCACATCTTCAAGCTGGCTGGGGAATTCTGGGAATTGAAGTCCACACATCTTCAAGTTGGCTGCGGAATTCTGGGAATTGAAGTCCGCACATCTTCAAGCTGCCAAGGTGGAGGAACGCTGGATTAGGGAGTAATCCTCAAATTTGGAACCTCAGCAGTTTGGGGAAAGGAACAGCTTATCCAAAGCAACAATTAACTTCTGAAGACCTGCCCTCCTTTCCTTTCTCTGCCTTTTCATTCCAACTTGTTTGTCTTTCCTGGAGAGTGAGCAGGCAAAATAATAAGAACGGCAATTAGTTCCGGCTTTCTTCTCTTCCTCTTCCCAACCTAGCTTGAAATTCAGAGTAGTTGTCTCATTTCGGGGGTGTTTTGTTTTCATCAGGCTTACTGAGGTGGTCCGGAGCAGTTTGATAAGCCTGGGCAAAGCCATCAAAGGCCTGGTGTTGATGTCTTCGGAACTGGAGGAAGTTTTCAACAGCATGATCGTGGGCAAAGTACCAGCTATGTGGGCAGCCAAATCCTACCCGTCCCTCAAACCCCTGGGGAGTTACGTGACCGACTTAGTGACACGTTTGGTCTTTTTTCAGGTAATCTTAAAGTTGGTTGATTTGGTGCTCTTTGTCATCACATATAGTTGAGAACTCAACCCTTGGAGATACAGATAGCCCTCCTTGACTTACAACAGTTCGTTTAGTGACCGTTCAAACTTAGAACAGCACTGGAAAAAGGGACTTTTTCACACTTACGACCGTTGCAGCATCCCTATGGTCACGTGATCAAAATTCGGACGCTTGGCAACTGGTTTGTATTTATGATGTGGTTCAGGGTTCATGTGATTCCCTTTTGCGACCTTCTGACTTGCAAAGTCCATGGGGAAGCCAGATTCACTTAACAACTGTGTGATTCACTTGGCAACTATGGGGGAAAAGGTCGTAATGTGGGGCAAAATTCACTTAATAACTGTCTCATTTGGCAACATAAATTTTGGGCTCAGTTGTGGTTGTAAGTCGAGAACTATCTGTAGTCTAGGCAAGAGGCACCAATCATGAGTGCTAAAACTACTTTTATTGTAAAGTTACAGAATCTTGCGAGTCTGAAAGTTTCTATTCCCTTCTTTACTGTTAGTCTTCTGAAAACTCCCTTCTTCGGACTCAGATTTGTCAGGTACAAAAGACCAGATCAATCCATGCTGGTCTAATTAAACTGATTTATTGCTAAAAGTCTATGCACAGGCACCTTCCCATCTAATGGTTAGCTGGGTTTAGACAGGGTCAGTGGAATTCAAAGAAAATTGGATTTAGTTTGCTTATGGCTACATAGGGATTCTAGGCTGAACCCTCTTTTAACCCCATCACCAGGTTCTGCCATTCCTTCTTCTGCAGATTTTATTTATCAGATTGTTGCCTAGGCTGTGATTCTTCCTCCTGTCCCTCACGGTCATTTCCATTTCCATTACAAGAACAAATACTAGAGAAGGAGACACTGTCCTATTTTAAGAGGAACATTCTAAAATCCAAATGCAACTCAAATAAACACCTAAAAAGAAACACACACGAGATTTCAGGGGCATAAATACAGAATTCCTACATGGATGGGATGGTAAGCAAAATAAAGAATGTTTCCAAAGAAACACCATCATGTAAGAGATATTTTGATGATGATATCAAGTTCTCAATTATGCTACGCTGCTTTAAAATTCACCTCGGCAAAGGAAACTCAGCTGTGTCCTAAATGAGCTTGCATACAGCTAGGATCTAAAGGGGCGAAGATGCTAAAGAAGATTGAGATCTTGAGCAGAGATTTCCTAAGAGGCTGACAGTTTCTCTCCCTGATTTCTGAACAATGGTCCTCCTGGTATCTCATGCTAATTAAACGATGATATGTCCCAGTGGGGTCTTCAAAGATTGTATTCCTTGCTAGAGTGATTATGGCACTTTATGCTGTTTGCTTCATTTAGAAAACCGATCCTAATTGATTGATTTAGATGCTTCGTTATTTTGGGAGAGCCAGAACAATCAAATGTCACCAAGAATTAATTAACCAGAAGTATATTGAATTTATCCTGGCTAATGGGTTTTCAGTCTGTTGGGTTCCTTTCGTCTGCCGAACTCCCTTCTTAGGCAGCTGTAATATAACCTAAACATCATTAAATATTTTGAAAAAAATATAATTGAATTCCTGGTGTTTTTATCCTCTTGGCTTTTTTACATGTTACAATTTGGAAAATGCAGCAAAATTTTCTGCCAAGTTAGTCCTCACTCACCGGTATTATTCTTAATCCTTACAACCTGGCACTTCAGACAAAGGATTAGAAATTCAAGTCCTCCTTGGATTCATGGTGCTTTGTCGTATTGACTCTCCATTTCATCAAAATATTTGTTAATTCTCATTCACCTCAGGAATGGATCAAACACGGACCTCCGAATGTATTTTGGATCTCTGGTTTCTATTTTACTCAGTCTTTCCTGACGGGCGTCTCTCAGAATTACGCCAGAAAGTATACCATCCCAATAGATCATATCGGATTTGAATTTGAGGTAAAGTATATATGCAACTAATTTAATTGCGTTTATAAAAAAGTATTGTTACGGGACAAAACGAAATGCGGCAATCAAGAATTAATGAGAAGCAGAGGTTGGTTCCAGAAAAGCTGGATGTGCAGGTGAAATTTTGATGGCAACAAGATGGTGGTTTTCGCGGTGAGGTACATCATTGTCTTATCCTTTGCCTGGTTTTGTAGTTTGAGGTGGAAAAAAATTAAAATCCAAAGGAATGAAGAAGGCAGAGAGGGGACTAGCGCTTAAGGCATGGGGGTGAAGCATAAGGATTTATGAGAAAAAATGAGAGAGAGAAAGAAAGAGAAAGAGAGAGAGAGAGAGAGAGAGAGAGAGAGAGCATCAGCTTATGTGGTGGCACAAGGACATCGAAAGCTCAAGAGAGACCAGTGCTTAATGGAACAGCTCAAGTTCTCATGTGGATTTTCAATCATTGACTCTCCCAGAGAAACAGATGAGGTAGAAATTGATGGAAATGGGTGGAAATGATCATCATAATGTCTTGGAGATTTGCTACAAAAATAATTAGACTTTGGGGGTCAGGTAGCTACGGTACTAGCACAAAAGCAGGCTTTGGTTTTAGCAGTTCAAAGCCACAAGACGATGATCCTTCTGAGAAAAATCACAGATTTTGTTTTCCCCGTCCTCCTCTCCTCCCTTCCTTCTGAATTCCTTCCTTCCTCTCCCTCTCTCCCCTTTTCTCTCCTCCCTCCCCTCCCCTCCCCTCCCTTCTTTCCTTCCTCCCTCCCTCTAGTTGAATTCCTTCCTTCCTTCCTTTCCTCACCCCCTCCTCCTTTTGATCTCTAGACCTCATGCATCTACTCATCAGAACTGGGTACCAGGCAGCAACAAAGCATCTCCGCTATAAAACGTGGATGGCGGGAAAGAAATATTTTTCTTTTCTTTCTTGAAATATTGATTTCTGAGGCTGGGTTTCTCTATAGAGTTCACTCGGAGTTGTTCAAGGCTAGAAACAGCGTGGGGCCCCCTTTCGATTTAATTGATCGCTCAGGGTTGGGAGATAATCATGCGCCCGAATATTAAATAATGGATGGCATTTATTAACGCCGGAGAGAAAAAGGGAGAGAAAAGGCTCAGAGAACTCTGCTCTCAGAACAAGCCTTGGGGGAAATGCACCAAAAAGAGTTCGAAATAAGTAGGTCCAGAGAGTATTGCAGCAGAAAATATAATGAGCAGATGGAGATATTGGAGTTTATTGGGTGGAAGGGGCAAAAAGGAAAAATAAAGTAGCTTAGTTTCATTGGAGAATAGTTTTCACGATGGGATGGGATGGCAAAAGGGGCATTTCTGGATTCTGTTGGAAAAAAGGAATTTCAGTCGGCAAGGTCTGCGAGAAGAGCTTGGTTTGTTTCCTTGCAGACGTTTCATCACCCAACTAGCTGACATCATCAGTGATGGAAGGGAGTGGGATTGTGGTGTGATGGAGGAGGAGGAGGGACTGTGGGGTCCTTGCCGGCTTCTCAGCTTGTTTTCTTGCAGATGTTTCATCACCTAACTAAGTAACATCATCACCTCTCTTAAGCAAACCCCACACCCTCCTAGCCAGGGGTGGGACACAAATTTTTAAACTACCGGTTCTGTGGGTGTGGTTAGGTGGGCATGACCAGATGGTCATGTGACTGGCTGGGCGTGGTTTATTTTCCCCTCCTGGGTCTCCAGGAAGCCACCGGGAGCAAAAACGGGGCACGGAGGGACACGCAGCACCCCTGCGCACCCAAGTTTTTGCCTCCTGGGCCTCAAGGAAGCCTCCTGGCAGATAACAGTGAGGGGGATCAGCTGTGCCACGCGATTTAGATTAGCTGGAGAGCAAGAAACCCAACATTTCCTGCTTTCTAGCTGATCTAAATCACGCAGAACAGCTGATCTTCGGAAAACAGCTGATCGGTGGGAAAAAGGGAAAAAAAGAGAAATACCTTGATCTTCGGAGCTACCAGTTCGCTCAAACCAGTCTGAAACGGTAGAATGCCACCCCTGCTCCTAGCACGGATGATGTTATCTAGTTGGGTAATGAAACATCTGTAGGAAAACAACCAGGCTCAGAGACCACCAAGGACCCCATAGTTCAACCCTGAACTGCAAATATTTTCCTCCATCAAGATCCCTTTCTGACGCTGTGCCCTCCCCTCGGTGAGCTCCCCACCCACCGTCTCGGCCTTCTGAAAGTTGACAGCCAGAGCTGTAATCCTGTTATCTCAATCCCAGGAACGGGCTTTACACAGGCAGTAAGCCAAGGCTTTAGTGCAGCCTGTGAACCCGCAAACCCAACTCCTTCAACGGAACGTGGGCTGACCCGTTATTCCTCCCTTCTCGTCCCGTCTGTTCATCCTCGTAGGTGATGGGGAAGGAGCACTCCATGGAGCAGACGCCCGAAGACGGCGCCTATGTCAAAGGCCTCTTTCTGGAAGGAGCCCGATGGGACAGGGTAGAGATGCAGATCGGCGAATCCTTCCCCAAAATCCTTTACGACGCCTTGCCCATCATTTGGCTGAAGCCCGGAGAGAGCAGCAAATTTTTGCATGAGCGGATCTACTTGTGCCCCGTCTACAAAACCAGCGCCAGGAGAGGCATCCTGTCCACCACCGGCCACTCCACCAACTACGTCCTCTCCATCGAACTCCCTTCGGACCTTCCCCAGAAGCACTGGATCAACCGGGGGGTGGCAGCCCTTTGCCAGTTAGACGACTGAACTGTACGCGCAAAGCGCAGGTTATGTTATTCCCGCGCCTTCCCATTAAAAGGACGTAAGCTTTGGCCCTCGTTGGAATGAAAACCCGCAGTCGTCAAAGGCCTCTTATAAAAGACCCAGAGTTTGTCCTCTGGCTGCATAATTGCAGAGTTGGGGAATGAAGGCAAGCTTTGCCAATGACGGAGCTCTGGGTCGAGATCCAGATTTGAAGGGCGAAAGCGGGCGGGGGTGGGGTTGGTCAGAGGTCTGCCAGGAACCCTTGAAGGCAGCCACATCTTTTCCCAGGATTGCACAGCTGTTTCTCGGCTCCTTTCTGAGCCTGCTGGAGGAAAAAGTGCATTTGTCTTTAAGATGTCCCTAATGGGAGCTATGTGTGCATCAGGGGTGTGTGTGTGTGTGTGTGTGTGTGTGTGTGTGTGTGTGCTGAATCCAATGGGTGAATCTGGAATATTGCCCCTGTTTGTTCACCTTCTCTCTCTGTATATATACCCAGCAGGGGATTTGAACAGTTTTTGATACCATTGGGCAGAGAAGTCAGACGGGCCCAGCATCACTGAAGGATAATCTGTATCTTAACCTAGGAATGTTAGACTCTTTCTGGGTTGATGGTGGCTCCTGCCCTTTGCCAGTGGTGGGATTCAAATATCTTTACTACCGGTTCTGTGGGCGTGGCATGGTGGGCGTGGCTTGGTGGGCGTGGCAGGGGAAGGATACTGCAAAATCCCCATTCCCTCCCCACCCCACTAACCTGCTTTCCAGCTCCGTTCTCCTGTGCAGGGCAACCAAAGGAGATCCAGCCGCTCAGCTGGGACTCAAGGGGAGGCGGAAAAGGGATGGGGTTGGCGGGGCCAGTCAGAGGTGGGATTGGCCGGTTCTCCGAACGACTCAAAAACTTCCAGTTCCGGTTCTCCAAAACTGGTCAGAACCGGCTGAAGACCCACCTCTGCCATGGACAGACAGCAAGTGTGGTTAAGGCCAAAACCAAACGTCAGTTTGTTTACCACTGAATGTGTTTAGATTTCAGTACTAATGACTCTATAGGCAGTCCTCGACTTAACGACCACAATTGAGACCAAGACTTCTGTTGGTAAGCGAGACATTTGTTAAGTGAGGCTTGTCCCATTTTTCTTGCCATTGTTGTTAAGGGAATCGCTGCAGTTGTTCAGCTGGTAACATGGTTGTTAAGTGAATCTGGTTTCCCCATGGACTTTGCTTGTTGGGAGGTCTCAAAAGGGGATCACGTGACACTGCTACCGTCGTGAATGTGAGTCAGTTGTCAAGCATCTGAAGGTAAATCATGTGATCCCGGGGGAGGGCTGCAGTGGTCATATGTGTGAAAAAATGGTCACTTTTTTCAGTACCCCATGGTCATGTGATCAAAATTTGGATGCTTGGCAACTGGTTCGTACTTATGACCATTGCAGCATCCCAGGGTCATGTGGTTGCCTTTTACAGGTCAATGGGGAAGCCAGATTCATTTAACAACCATGTTACCAACTTAATAACTGCAATGATTCACTGAACAACTGTTAGGTAGAAAATTAAAATGGACCAAAACCCGTGTAACAAATGTCTCACTTAACAACATAAATTTGGGGCACTTGTGATCTACCTGTATCTTTTGGGGGATGAAACGTAACTTTGAATTTTAGAGTTTGGTCATTAAGTGAGGACACTGTAGGAATATCAATAACACCTGAGGATATGTACCTGTTCTGACCCAAACCTTGTTCCAAGGAAACAAACACAAAACAGAGGCAGCAGCAAAACCTTTTAATGATTCTTTAAGAATTCCGTTCCTTCCCGGTTAAAAGGATGTTTCAAACTCATTTTCTCTGATAAGAATGAGCCTTGCCAAGGTTGTGCAAGGCTGCCAAGAACACTGGATAAAGTTACTAAGAAACATTTCAAACACAAAGAGTCTCCAAACGCAAAGATATTCCAAACATCCACAAGGCTTGAGTGCAAAAACTTCTTTGCTTCCTGCAAAGAGCTCCAGTTTCTCAACTGGCTTTTATCCCTGAAGGGAGGGGCCATTGCCTTGCAGCCTTACTCCCGAGTCGCCCGTGCTGCTGCAGCTGCTCTTTCCTTCAAGCAGCCCTGCGTGCACACACCCTGGGCACAGGCTCCTCGGGGAACTCTTCCTCACTACTGCCAGCCTCCACAATCTCCGAAGGCAGCACTCTGCTCCCTGGATGGTCCTGGCCCCATTTCTGCATCCCACTCAGGCCCCTCACCTGAGTCCTCCCTCTCCGAGACTTCAACCTTCCACACCTTCGGTCGGCAAACCACAACAGTACACAAGTAGAACATAAAAACTGATCGAACCTTGATCTTTTTCTACCACATATTTTTATTTTCCCACAATGCTGCTTTCTTTCACACAAGGCAGGTTTAGCGCCTCCTTGTCATCTCTCCTTGGGACCAAGTGGATTCCCGACCTTGGAAACAAAACAAAAAATCACCCGGTGGTAACCGTACCAATTTCCTTTTCACCTGGAGTCATGCATGCCAAGTGCATCGGTCAGGTAGTCTTAAGACAATATCAACCTGCAGCTGGATCAGGGGCTATGAAATTTCATCCTGAGATTTCAAATAAACGGGTTTAGAGATCTTCCTTAGCTTCTCCTGGTGTCGAAAAGCCCGGGCTCGTGGCAGTGCGAGGCCCATGGGTGGCAAATGAATCTGTTACGGTAAGAAGAAAAGGAAAACTGCTTTTAAAAAAAGACTCTGCAAAAACATCCAGGCCTTTTTCAGATACCGTGTTTAATTTTTTTTTTTTTCAATGAAACTTTCATTTTAAACAAGAAGGTAAAAGCTAACACAAACTAACAAGGCAGTAAGAAAGGAAAAAGACAAGAAATAGAGAAAGCAAGGTAACCATTGCAATAGCCCTTAGACTTGCCCACCGGTGGTCCCTGGGCCCACCTGGGTGGTCCCTGGCCCACCGGTGGTCCCTGGGTGGTCCCTGGCCCACCGGTGGTCCCTGGGT